AGGGTTTATTTTTAACATGGAAGAAATTCTTGAGTCAAAGACTTAAGCATATGTAGAGGCAGAAAGTGTGAGGATGAAGGCAACAAAAGGAAGTGGTTGATTCTGGCAGAGCAGAGAGGACAGGAGGGGGAGCTGGACAGAGGTGATTGTAGGGTGATATTTTGCAGTTGCATTTTGGATGGGTTTGAGGATTGGAGAAGAGGAGGTTGCAATAGTTAAGACATAAAGTAGTAAACCATGAAGTTTAGCAGTGGGAAAGAAAAGGCACAGATGCACTCCTGTATATGCTAGCAGCGAAACCGGGAACATTTAGCGATTCTTAATTATGTAGAAGCAGGGGAGCCAAGGGGTAGGGAGGGTGATAGATTTGCTGAAAATTAATGCAGAAGGGAAGAAGTTTGTTTGTTTGAAGAAAGATGAGTGCAGGTTCTGCAATAGTGAGCTTGAGGTGGTGGAAGGACTTTTATGAGAGAGAAGCTAGAGTGAGAGTTGCAGATAGAAAATTGAACGGGGTAGTGCCTCTCATTATACATCTATTTTCAGTACGTTCCTTCTATTCTGTACAGAGGCTCATCTGTAGTCTCTCAGTGTGCTGGAAGTTAAGTAGTGTAGGCATTATTGCTGTTTGAGAGAGGATAATGCAGTTGACAACTTCTGGTGATGCTGGGTTTATGATACTATTCCTCTTTGGAGTTCTGCAGGCTAATGAAATTGGTTTTAAAATTGGGTAAAGCTATCTATGGTATATCCTACAGCCCTAATCAAGAGTCCTTGTTTGGTAAGGCTCAATTTCCTTATAAAAGAAGAAAAGGCTTCAGATGCTCATCTTTATTAGCTACAACATGCTTTTTCATAACTTCTCATTAGTTTTGCTTGCGTAAAATTGAAAAGCATCCATGTTGTTGGAAACTTTGTTCAGACTGAAACACTGTGGCTATGTCTGCACTTTACAGAAAAGTCAGAAAAAGATATGCAAATTGCGAACTACAAATTGCATATCTTGTTCTGCTTTTCTTTTGGAAGAGGCTTTTCCAAAATGTGGCGTGTCTACACAGTGCCAAATTTCGGAAAAACC